GTCGTCACAGGTCTGGTTGTTAGGTGGAGGCAGGTCAAAAGGAGATGGTAGTAAAATCTAATTTGGGGATTTTGCCAGAAGTTAAGACTGAAGATCAGAGAAAGTCAAGGCTATTGATTGCCTGTTACTCAGGTAATAATCCTGCTAATGGGACCCATCCTGGCAAATGAAGAAAAGAGAAGCTGATGTGTTGGCCTTGTCAAAGTCTGGCTGGCCAAAGAATGGCTCTGCTGAGAGGAGTTGAGAGGTCAGCTGGAAGGCAAGGAGGCTGTGGGCCGAGGATAGGAAGGAGCTGGAAGCGTTACAGTTCCACATGGAACAGGCTTGGAGTCAGGGAGGAGGTCATCAGAGGGGACTTGAAGGAATAGAGGGCAGCAGGGGTTCGCACAGCAGGGAGTGGTGGGGCAAGTCAGATGTGTGAGTGGAGTTGAAGGTCGTGTCTTTGAGGAAGTTGACTGGTGATGGGGTTGCTGAGGTTGGTGAGGGTCCTGTGGGACTCAGCTTGGGAGTGGAGTGGAGAATGTGAGCCAGTGCCAAAGCTGCTGGTGAATTGGGTGGGGGAAGGATATCACCCGAGAACTGGTCGATGACAGGGATGCCCAGAAAGGAATTCCCAGGAAGATGGTGGGGCTTTTCAACTGAAGCTGCTGCACCCCACTCCCGTCCCCCTCCTTTCCAGCCTGCTCATTTATTACTGCTAATTGCCCAGTTGGCAGTGGGAAAGTGGTGCCTGTGAAAATGTGAAGCAATAAACTGGAGCGGGTGTGTCCTCCATATGCTCCCTTCACCCTTCCTCCTCCTTCTCCCCACTGAAGGGTTCTGGGGTGTCCACTCTGAAGCATACAGCCTGGGTGTGAATCCTCCTCTTCACGGTAGCACTTCCTGCTCTGACTGTGGGCAACTGACTTCACCTGTCTGTGCCCACATTCCTCACCTGTGTAACAGTTATGGGCTAAGAATTCTCCTGCCTTTCTAGGTTGTGCGCCAGGTCAGATGGGCACCTGTTCACTGTTGTTATTATGATTTGGGCTCCACTTACCTTCTTTTGGTTCCACCATGGCACCAAAGATTTTGCACCATTGCTGACTCCTGTTGTAAGATAAGAGAGCAAGAGAACTGACATTTATTGACCACCTGCTGTATGCCAGACACTGCCTTAGCCATTAACCTAACAATCTCTCTCACGTATTTGTCAAGAGAATTACTCACACCTAGCTGCCCTGGAGCATGCAGTCTCTGGAGCATATGGAGCAGCCTTTATCATCTGCAGTTTTTAGAGTAGGAGATGAAGATTTAGGGAGGTTTAATAACCCTACCTGGCATTATTCAGCTAATAAGATCGCGCATCTATTCCTTCTCTTTCAAGCTATCTGTGAGGCTTCCCCCCACCCCCCGCCACACCTTTTCCCTCTTCCTTTTTCTACCTCTTTTTAACGGAAAATATTTGTATTATCAAAATAGATCCAGAAACCAACCATTAGGTCATACCATAGGAAGCTACCTGTGCTGCTTTCTGGCCATTTCCAGCCTGCAAAAATGGCACTTTAGTGTCGTTCAGGCTGGTATTTCTGCCCCCACAACCACCACCCTTCTCCAAGCTCCCAGCATTCCTTTCCTAGATTTTTAGCAGCAGTCTCTTGATTGGATTCCCTGTGGGGCTCACAGAGAGTACAGAAATCATTGTTTTGAGCTGTGGTTGTAGCATTCACGGTTTGTGTTGGTGATAGCAAAATATCCTGGCCACCCTCCACTTTATACTCAAAACAGCAGCCAGACTGCTATGTCAAAACGTAGCTCAGCTCAGGCCACTCCCCACTTCCCCCCAGGGGCTTCCCATCATCTGTACCCCCGCTGTGCCTAGTGAAAGGATTTTTCAAAATTCTTTTCTTTAACAAAAGTGGCTTAAAGAGTGCAACAATTCCTAATTCTTGTAGGAATACTTGAGTATAAATTAAGAGAACTAAAGAGAATCTACGAGCATATGTTTTGCGACCATGGCTTTCTGGCCTTCTGCCGTAACTGTCCCTGGTAATTTCCTCATTCCTGTTCTCCGCCAAGGCAGGTGTTCTCCATAGGCTGTGCCCTGCACCGTGCCACCTCCACCCCTGCTGCTGCAGGTTTCTCTGAGCCCTCTTCATTCCCCCTGGAAAACCCGGGTGCACCTTCAGTGCAGCAGGCTGGGAAAGGGGGTGGGAGGACTCAGAGCCAGGGTTGTAGTAGTTTCCTTGAGGACAGGTGGGGCTCACAGAGAGTACAAACATCATTGCTTTGAGCTGTGGTTGCAGCATTCACGGTTTGTGTTGGTGATAGCAAAAGCAGCATTTATATTGTTCTGCATTATGGTTTACAGAGTAACTTTGCGTGCTTATTTGAGTCAAGGTACCCAAGATGTTATGAACACAGGTCTGGAGCCTAATTTTCTGGGTTCACATCTCAGCTCCATCACTTACTAGCTTGTAACCTCCCTGGGTCTTGTTTCTTCATCTGTAAAATTTAGTAGAGTTTGGCCTTGAGCCCTAGTCCTCTGGCCCCTTAGTTGCTCTTGCTCCTTGGCCCATCAACATTTCACTTGTATAAAACTATATGTTTTTTCTTCGTAGTTTTTGTGATAGTTGTTAAAGGCCATTTTTATCCCCTGCACGTACTTTTTTTGCAGCCAGTTGGAGTACTTTCTCTTCGATTTTTCCCAGCCCTTAAAGCAAAGGTCACAAACTGGTAGTCGAGGATCAGGGCAGCCTGCAAACCATTTTATTTGAGCATAATATTTTAATAAGTAGTTAAAGTTGCTTGAATTATAGTCAGAGTTTTTACTTAAAATCTGTGTTTTGACCTCTGGAAAAATCAGAACAGCTGGCACCTCTGGCCTCAGTGTGCTGGGCCTCAGGCTCTGCTGTGTCCCTTGCCCTGTTGGGTGGGGAAGGGGTCCTCCCTGCCCCTAATGTCTTAACACCTACCATGGCTCTCCTTGAGGTCTCCTGCCTGGCCTCCACAGTGTATAACCTCTGCACTTGACTTTATTACCCTGGGTGCCTCAGTAAGTCAGCAGCAGCCCTGGTGATTGAGGCACCCAGTGGTGGGTTGGCACCAGTGGCATTCCAAAACAGACTATTTTAGAGCTAGAGGCTAACGTGAACTCTAGTGAAGGCCCAATTGCTTCAGATACATTTACCATCTAAACTTAATTCTAACCAGGTAACCGTGATTGGAGGAGACCTTGCATTTGAGTTTGGGCGGCATGCCCCTCTGATGGATGACACAGTGACAGAGATCTTACCACCAAGCAGAGCCTTGATATTATGGGTATAGATTTCTACAGCCTGAAAGCTTAGCTACCAACTTCTTGGGCTGGATCTCCTGGGCTATTCCTAGGGATAGCCTAGGGATCTTAGCTGCAGAAAGCCAGAGCTACTTCATTAGTATGGATTCCTGAAAGGCAGGAACCATGCCTCCAAGCTCTCTTTAACAGACCCTGTGTGCCACGGGCCTTATGGTCCATGAGCAAGATGCTTGTTATCAATCATCTGGCTGCTTCTCTCCTGTTTTCTTAGGTGTGTAGTAAGAAGACATTGAGAGACTGGCTTGAAGGTTAGAAATTACCACCTTTAGTGAGTCCAGTTACTCAGTTTTTACTTCCTAAAGTTCAATCTAGAATAGAGTTGTCCAAGAAAAGAAAATTCATAACTTCCGAACTGTGTTCTGGGGTTGCTAGGACAGCTATGCCATAGTCAAACCACTGGCTCTCAAGAGATTGTGCAAAGAGGGCTGGCCTCCTGGAGATTCTCTGAATACATGGCATTCTGAGTAGAACTGCTTCACTGGTCTGCTTTGATAATACGTTGAGCCTGCAAAGCCTTACATGTTAGAATATATTCAACTGAGTGGGTAATGGGGAGTTCTGTGTATTTAGGTAGGGTATTCTACTGTTTCAAGGGCACAAAACTTTGTCCTCCTGGAAACAGGACTGTCTCTTTTAGATTGTGATTTCTGAATAATGATACTTTATGTCCATAGCCTTAACTGTGTAGTTGTAATCTCCATGGTAAAGATTTTTAAATTAACTTTAATATGTAAAAATCATCCAGCCTTAACATAACAGTATGAAAGTAGTTAATACCACTGAACTGTACACTTAAAGATGGTTAAGATGGTAAATTTTATGTTATGTATATGTCACAGTTTTTTAAAAAGTGTTTTCTATTAAAATAAAAAAGTATATATGTTTATCATAGAGAATGTGAAAAAAGAGAAAAAATTGTCATCTTATCGCTTAGAGAGCTTTCAGTATTTTGTTACATTTGTTTCTAACCTATGCATATTTTCACAGAGTTGAGATGGTACTGGAGCACCATAATATTGTGATAGCTGTCATTAACACACATTTTGCAGAATAGGAACATAGCTAGAATATGGGTTGTGGGGCTAAAATATCTGAGTTCCAATTCTTGCTCCCCAGGTCTGGATATGTAACAGGAAGCAAGTTACCTAACCTTTCTGTGCCTTAGTTTCTCATCTAAATCAGTGATTCTCAACTGGGGCACCTTTTCCCCAGAGGACACTTGGGAATGTCTGGAAACATTTCTGGTTTTCAAAACTGCAGGGAGTTGCTGCTGGCATCCAGCTGGTAGAGGCCAGGGATTGTGGACTGCATAGGACGGCCCATAGTGAATTCTCCGTTCCTAGATGCCAGTCGTGCTAAGTAAATAAGATTGAAATATTAGTACCTACCTCTGAGGATTGTTGAGAGAATCAAATTAATTAAGGTATGTTAAGTATTTAGAACAATGCATAGCATATAGTAATGCTAGGTAAGTGTTAGCTATTATTATTGTTATAATCACTTTTTATCACTTCATATCAGCATGTCTGTACTTAAAATCTTATAAGCATTCTTTTTACTATTTTCAGAATGTCTTTTTAATGTCTCTTTAACTTTTAAAACAAGAGTTTTCTTGTATGTAATACTGCATTCTCCTAACATGCCTTTTTTTCTCCCCCATCAGATGAAATTAAAGCAGAAATAGAAAAGCAGAGGTAAGTGTTTCCCTAGCTGAAATAGAGTATTTAGGGAGTAGGTGGCAGTTGTGCATGTTTTCCCATATTTCTCACCTCAGGGGTAGCCATGATTTCCTAGCTCAGTACTGGGCACACAGCAGGTATGTGTTTGATATTAACAGATGTTAACAGTTCCTGGCTCAGTAATTGCATGTTTGGAGGATAAGGTTAGGAAGATTCAAGTCAATACGGTTGTACCTTTTCTTGACAGAAGAGGCAAAGCCCTTGTCTCTTGGATGTCATACTTCCTTAGGCAGGAGAGCAGCTTGCCTTGTAAATGGCTGCTTCTCATCTTCATAGTAATGAAGCCACCTAGTCACATTTCAGAAATAGCTGTGACCAGGATTCAGTCCAGGACACTGTCCATACAACTTCTAATCAGAGACTGTCCTCTGCACACAGCACGTTGTTGTTTTGTCCTCATGCATGTGTTTCCACTTCTAATTGTCCAGCCTCACAGATGAAGTTTGCAGGCATTTTTAATTAAATGATTGCAAGTGGGATAGGATGTTAGAGTGAGGTGTAGGAAAAGCAAGCTTTTTTTTTTCATGTCCTCTTTCACCCTCTCCTGCTTTTTTCCTAGGCTTGGCACTGCCGCACCACCGAAGGCAAACTTCATCGAAGCTGACAAGTATTTCCTTCCCTTTGAGCTAGCGTGCCAGTCCAAGTCCCCACGGGTGGTCAGCACGTCCCTTGACTGCTTGCAGGTACCATGTTTAAACTTGGTGGTGTAAAGGGGTTCTTTCCAAGCAACGGGTGGTCCTTACACAGGATTGTGCTAGCGACCTCCTGATATACTCAGAATGCTCTTGTAGGTGCTGAAGAAAGGTGCAATCCAACTTACTCTTTATGGAGGTCATATGAGGGAGGGAAGAGTGAGGGGTCTGACCGCCTTAGCTAAAACAAGAATTTGTTTCCCTAAAAATATTTTGTTGGTCTCATGTATGTTTTTCTAAATGAAACTCTTAGCATTAATTGTGATATTTGGTACATGTGGGCATGTAAGATATTTTTTTCAACTTTCTTCATGGCATTATCCTAATTTATAATATCAAGTAGAGAAATAGATATAATCAATTCTCACTATTTGTGGTAATATTCTGTAAAGTTGCTGTGAATACTAAATAAGTAAATACTGAACCATTGTTCCCAGAGGAAATAGTGGGTTAGGTTCATGTGAGCCTCTGCTCTCAACATGTCCATCAACACATCACTACATCATTTTTTTCTTTGTGTGTTTCTATTTAAAGACACCTTATTTAATATATATTATTGATTCACATGCCTCAACAAAGCTTATCTAATATGTGTAATTTCTCCATAAAGCACTGTGTTCTTGCTCTTAGAAATGCTGGACAGCACTTTAGCACTATGCTTGAGGGCCATTAAGTGGCAAAACAAAACAAAACAAAAGGTAAAACACCAACAAAAAGGACAAAAATGTGAAAAACATGGCATCAAGTAGACCACAAAAACACTGCTTACAGCATGAGAGCTGAAACAAGGCAGAGCGTCTTGTTGTTCAACCTCATGTGGGAAACTGTGCATCAAGTAATTCAACTTTTTCACTGCTCTTTGTGTGTCCAGAAGTGACCACAGAAATGCCTCAAGTATTGATTTTGGACTTAGAAATAAATTTTATTTAGTGGGTGCATTTGCAAATACAGTGTCTGTGAATTATGAGGATCAACTGTGTTAGAGCCACATTGACCTTGTTATAAATTATCTGTATTGACAGAGGTGTGGAAGTGGAGAAGTCAGGGTGACATGTCCAATAACTACAGGTGGTAAAAGAC